TGAATTCACTAGCCAGTGAATCCCCAGGATCTGCTTGTCTGCACCCCCTGCCCCCGCCAGCCCCCAGCACTGGGATTATAGTCACACACCCCTTTTTCCATGGGTGGTGCTGGAGAATACCCAGAAAGCACTCTAGCCCTAGTTTCTCACATTTTCTCTGTTTTTGTTTGGGTTTTGTTTTGTTTACTTTTGTTCTCTCTATTTTTAAAAAAGAAAAACTTAAAAACAGTCTGAAAGGTGGAGGGTTTGCTCAGCAGTTAAGAGCATTTGCTGCTCTTTCTAGAGGACCAGGTAAGATTTTCAGCGCCAGTGTGATGACTTAGAACCATCTGTAACTTCAGTTTCAGGGGATCTAAAATCCTCTTCTGATTTCTGGGCATCAGGCACACAAACAGTACAGACATACCTTCAGGAGAAACACTCATACATAATTAAATAAAACCTACTGAAAAAAGCCTTTGAGACATATGTTAGCATTTTGTTGCAATTAAGGTGAGGCTCTCGAAGTGCCCAGTGTCCAATAACTGAAAGCAGAGGAATTTAGTGTGGTTTTTTTTTTTTTTTTTTTTTCTTTTCTTTTTTGGTTTTTTTCGAGACAGGGTTTCTCTGTAGCATTGGAGCCTGTCCTGGAACTAGCTCTTGTAGACCAGGCTGGCCTCAAACTCACAGAGATCAGCCTGCCTCTGCCTCCTGAGTGCTGGGATTAAAGGCGTGCGCCACCACCGCCCGGCTGAGGTGGGCTTGGTGGGACATGGTAGCACTTACCTCTGGAAGCGGATGCCACCAGGCAGCTGCAGCCTATTACTGCCGCCTTGTCCCGGTTTTTGCTTCTGGAGCTTGGAGTTGCGCCAAGCCAAGGGCTTTGCTCATGCTGCTCGAGGCCTGGCCCAGCCTGCTTTTTACTTTTAATCCCAGGAGTCCTCAGATTTGCGGTCACCCCACCTCAGCCACTGTAGTAGCTGGGACTACAAGCCTACTCAGCCAGGCCAGAACAAATTGTTCAAACAAATCCCCAAATTTGAATTTGGTAGTGGCATCTGTTACCTTCACAGTTGGCAATTAATTCATAATTTTGAACATCATGTGGCCCAGTCTTGGGCTGTGCTCAGTCATTGCAGTCTCTGGTTTATAAGTGTCCAGGATTGTTCTGGGAACCATGGCGATACCTGAGGGCAGAAAGCATTTTCCTGTCCTGTCCTGTCCCTTCCCTTCCTTCTGTCTCCCTCCCCTCCCCTCCTTTTCTCTTCCTTCCCTTGTCTTTTTTTGTCTTTTGTTTGTTTGTTTGTTTGTTTTTTGAGACAAGGTTTCTCTGTGTAGCTTTGGAACCTGTCCTGGAACTCGCTCTGTAGACCAGGCTGGCCTCAAACTCACAGAGATCCACCTGCCTCTGCCTCCCGAGTGCTGGGATTAAAAAGGCATGTGCCACCACCAGGCTCTCCCTGTCTTTCTTTTGATCTTTCTAGGAGGAAGACAGAGAAACAGCTCAGGCTGCCCCTGAATTCACTTGTGGCTGACTATGGCCTTGACCTGAACCTTGTGCCTCTGCTTTCCTAAAGACTAGGATTATGAATGTGCTACCACAGGGAGCAGAAAGCTCTGCTAAGCCCTGATGTGGTTTGACAATCACTCAAAGTTTAACATAAAATACTAGACCTCGTCCTTTTCTCTTTGGCTGAGAGTCCTCCAGCCCTTCACATGTGGGTCCCATGTCTAAAGCTGCATCAGTTACCAAACAAGCTGTGGGGAAGCCCTCAGCACTTAAAACCTGCTCTAATTCTGTGTTCTAGGCAAGTGCCTTCAGATCACTGCCAGAGTCCAGCCAGGTTAAGAGTGTGCTCATGGAGCTGTAGAGATGACTTGGTGGTAAAGAGCACTTGTCGCTCTTTCCAAGGACTGGGTTAGGTTCCTAGTGTCCACATGGAGGTTCACAAAGAGTATGCTCATGAAGTGCCAAAAGCTGATCCTGTACTAAGAGACCTGAACAAGAGCAGCTCAGAGCTGGCTCACCTGGAACAGGCTCATCAGGCAGGATATAATAACCCCCATTCATTGCCTGTCATTCTCTTTGACAGTTTTAAATCATCTGGCTGGATCTTGTGGCCTTCCCCCTTGGCCTTCCCTGTGTCTGCGTGTCTGCGACGCGACGGTGTCCTGGAGTCAACCCTGGAGCAGCAGTGCAGCAGCAGCAGCAGGAAGCTGGGTTGGGTGGGCATCGGATGCGGGAGGCGGGTGTGGTGTGCTTGCTGGTTGTGCAGAAAGGCAGCAGTGGACCTGCCCCGAGGCCACACTTGTCTGGTCAAGCTAGCTTCTGATGTTCAGTCCCCTGGGCCGGGACAGACTTTTTTTTTAAATGTCTTGAAACCTAAACTCTGTGCTTGTAGAAGACTGTAACCTTTTTGTCTTTTTTTTTTTTTTTAAACAACAACCTCCACCTCCAGTGGCTGTGACTGGCCCCAGTGATTGTACCTTATTGGTCGCTGTGGTCTGGGCGGGCCTGGAGCCAGAAGGCGACTATTTTTCCTGTGCTACCCCAGTTGGGGAGAGAGGGAGGTTTCAGACTCCAGTCTCTCTTCCTTGCTGTTGTACTCACAAGCCTCCTTGGGCCCAGTAGAGGTGGTAAGGACCCTCTACTAGCCTCCTGAGTTCTGCCTGAAGATGGCCACCGTACAGGTTGGGAGCAAGGGCTGAATCCATGATTACCAGGCAGACCTAGGAGCTGGGGTCCAAAAGCCAGGCAACTTCTGGCTGCAGGGGCTACCTGGAGTTCCCCCCCAACACCTCCCCAGCTGAGAGGCCCCAAGGCTTGCCTGTCTGGGTACAGTGCCTGTGCTGGAGGTGCAGAGGTGAGTCCTTGAGTGCCCAGCTGGGCCTCGCCTGCTCTGGCTCCTCTGCTCCCACGCTCGCTGTCTCTGATTCTGATGAATCCTCCCTTCCCCTAATTAAAGTCTCTTCCTGCCCCTTTGGGGCTGCATGAGGTCTGTGCTCTGTGTATGTGTGGAAGGACAGGGGTTTTTATTTCTTGGAGTCGTGTATGACCGGCACTTGGGTCTGGAGCAGTCCAGCAGACAACTTTGTCATTGGGAGACCAGAGGCCTTCACTGCAGTCAGTCACCGTTGTTCTGAACAGAGACAGCAGTGTTTTTCCACATCATGCTTCTATCTTTAGGTATCCTCAGAAACCAGGATCCCACTTTGTGGGTAAGGATTACAGGTGCCACAGTCCAAAATAGCTTGCTGCAGATCTCCCATCCTGTGAGCTAGAGACTGACTTCTGGCTGTGCTGTCAGAATCAGTCTCCACACTATCCCAAATTCTGACTTCCACTAGTGACTTAGCAGGTGTTGGACAGTTATAGGTTACTCAGGAAGTTCATCAGATAGTGCCTATGACTCCTTGCTGACTCCTGAAGTAAGCGGTCCTCTCTCATTGTCTCCTAATAAGTAGAGATAATGGGAACTATATAGCCCTGCCACACAGATGGTGGTGAGCAGTGGTTGATCCATCCCTCTGTTTGCTGTTTACTGGCACTCATTCATACTCTGATACAACTCAGGTCCAGAAAAAGTGAGTTCTGTAAATAAGCATTGAAGAGTGGTGTTCATGATTGGGGTGGAGGGGGGTAAGTATGCTTGCAGAAGAGACTATCAGAGAAAGCGTCAAGAGTGGTCGGCTTTGCGCCAGGTCTGTTGACTCACACTAGTAATACTAGCACTGGGGGAAATTGGAAACAGGACTTCTGTGAGTTCTAGGCCATCCTTGGACTACAGAAAGATAATTTTCTCAAATGAACTAAAAAAGTGTGTGTAAGAGAGAGCTGAGCTGAGCTTTCTGGATGGCCAAAGGAGTTTTTGTTGAGGTTTGAAGGGAATTATTTCTTAGTGCTGGGATTGAGCACAGTATGCAAACCTATCACCAGCCCCCAGAAAGGGTCTTTTGAAAAGAACAAGTGTTAAAGAAAGGAGGGGTGGGGGCAACTGGACTGACTGGCTGCTGTCCCTTTGTGACACTCCCTCTGTGACCTCCTGCCTTATTGAATTAGTTGGACCCTCTGAGGTACATGGCTGTATTCTAACTTTGCAGTGACTGTTAAAGATACTCCTGGTGAAGCCAGGTGATCAGAAGGAAATGGCAGCTGGTCACCCAACCCTCGAACATCCTTGCTCTGGTGAGCCAGCCAAAACTGCTTGCGTTGTAGATTATCTCCCAAGGTACAAAGTCCCTAAAACCAGATTTCCAAGCTGAGAGCAGACTAGATTGCTGCCAACCAGCCAGCCCTCCCTCTTCTGGAAGGCCAGTTCCCAGCCATGTTGGGTGGAGGGTGGGTTGGCTGGACAGGTAGCTCGGGGACCTTCACTGCAAAGGCAGACTTGCTGGTGACTGACAGCTGGGTTCTTGGACTGCTTGAGTAGACACTGCTAGAGCCGGCCTCTCCAACTCCATTTGGTACTTCTAACCCTCACAGGAAGCCCAAGTGACTGGGCAGATAGCACGAAGCCTTGAGTTACATTCCAGCACCAAGTGTGCTGGTGGTCCAGTTGTTGAAAGTCTGCCATCTCAAAAAGGTGTTGGAATCTGACCTTTGTACTAAGTTTTTTTTTTTTTTTCTTTTCTTTTTTTCTCAAGACAGGGTTTCTCTGTAGCTTTGAAACCTGTCCTGGAACTAGCTCTCGTAGACCAGGCTGGCCTCAAACTCACAGAGATCTGCTTGCCTCTGCCTCCCGAGTGTTGGGATTAAAGGCTTGCACCACCACCGCCCGGCTTGTACTAGGTTTAGCTATGCTGTGTGATTGTGAGACAAATTATGTACTGTTTTGGAGTCTGACTTATTTTCTCTGAGTTGTGATTTGGCCAGAATGAAGTACTCTGTGTCTTTCTATTTCTTTCTTTCTTCCTTCCTTCCTTCCTTTTCTTCCTTTTCTTTCTTTTTTTCTTTGTTTTTCAACACAGGCTTTTCCAGTCCTGGAACTCTATAGACCAGGCTGAACTCAGGCTCGCAGAGATCCACCTGCCTCTCTGCCTTCCAAGTGCCGGGATTAAAGGTGTATACCACCACCGCCCAGTGTCTTTCCATTTCTTCAGTTGATAAAAATGATTTGATTTTTTCAAGTTAGTGGAAGAGGCAGTGTGTGCTCTGAACCTTATATTGCCACCCCATATGCAACCCAAAGACGACCCACCATCTCCACCTAGGCCCCACAGGACTGATCTAACCTCACCTCGGTCTTTAATTCACCGGCCCCCTCAAAGGTTCACAGGACAGTTGCTGGGACTTCCCACTGCTAGGCTGTGATTTCATCTCTTCCCTTGGTGGCTCCTGGCTCCTTTGCATGTGCACTGTTAGCTTAACTGGTCACCTGAGTAGACTGCTTTGCCTTCAAGGTCCCCTTCCCAGTTTCAGCTCACTGCCTTTTCCATGCCCTTAAACCAGCACCTTTTTGTTTCTTTTGCTAACTTTTGGATTTCCACACACTGTAAGTTTCATGAGATCAGGGACCAGTTGACAGCCCTTATCCCAGAGCTTTAGTGTATGTATGTAGGCCAGCGCACAAAAAAATAAAGAACTCTAATATTCGCCCCAATGCTTGGTTCTTCCATCCTCAGTGCCTAGCAAGTGAGGCCCAGAGCCAAAACCACTTCCCACCGCCGCTCTCCAGCCCTCTACCAGAGTCTGATTGTGCCTAGGCAACAGTCTCCTAGGAGACGGGAAACAGAGGGCGGGGCCTGAGAGGGAGCCTGAGCGAAGGCACTGGGGCGCTGGGAGCGATCCTGGCGGCGGCAGGCGCATGCAGGGCCTCAGCGCCGCGCTTCTCCTGAGCGCCGGGCAGCTGAGGCCTGCGGCTGCCTGTTACCGCCAACAAGGCGGCTCGGAATGCAGCTGGCAGCGGAGGCCGCAGCCGCCCGAGCTCAACACCAATTCCCCTTCGCGGTGGCCCTGGGCAGGCAGCTCCCAGTTCCACCCTCCTGGGAGGCTGCAATGGCCCGGGCCCGCCTCCGCCAGACCCGAGGGGGCACGTTGCCGTGGGGATTACAGCCCATTTTCTGTGCGCCACCTAAGCAGCGCCCGGGACACTGCGAGCTCCCACCCCGTTTGCTCCCGGCTCCCCTCGACCCTGGATGAGCCTCTGCCTACTGCCTCGCCACCACCTGATGGTGAGGCGCAGCGCAGGCAGCCAGCCCTGAGACCCTGGTGGCCGCAGAGAAAGGTCGCGAGGGTGGAAGGAATGGGGCACCTGGAGAGCATTGCAGATTGGGCATCTGGATGCAGGGTAGGGGCAAGGGAGCACATGCACCTGAGGTCAGAGAAGTCCCTGGACCCAACCCCCAGCTTTCTGTGTTCCTGCTCGCATCTCTCTGCAGATTCCCTTGTCCTCTGGCGAGGATTCTCCAAGGGACCTCACCACATGGGCCGACTCAGAAACGCCAAAATCCACGTAGAGAGAGCCGTCAAGGTTGGAGGGGATAGGGTGGTGGTGGCTACATTTACTAGTTTCTTATACCCTTAAGAAATAAATCCATAAATGTCAAAGAAAGATTTAATACAAGCTTGCGCGCGCGCGCACACACACACACACACACACACACACACACACACACACGCACACGCGCGCGCGCGCGCGCGCGCGTGCATCAAGCCCATAGTCTTGACGGATTTGTCTCTACCTAGGGATACATTCTTCAGCTCACTCGGTCCTGATCCCCAGCCCTTCTAGCCCATTCCCTTTAGGAATTATTCTCATCTAGGGCCTCGGTGTCCAGTAAGGAGCCAGCCAAGTCCTTAACTGCCTTTCTCCTGCTGGGGAACTGTGTATTACAAACGGGTCCTACATTCCACCCTAGGCTAAATGACTGGCTGGCTCCACACTCCTGGTTCCCCTTGCTTACTCCCTGGCCTCTGCCTCTGAAGACTCCCCAGATGTTTGTAATTCCTTGGGTCCTGGGTCCGATCTGTTTCCATGCACCTCTTTCCTTGAGTTTAGGAGTCCAGATCACACCGTGCCCTACCCAACCCTTTTCCTGCCTCCGACCCCTACCCTGGAGATCCAGCCCTCTGATGGATGTCTCTCCATCCAAAGAGCTCACCAGCATCTCATGCTTGCTTGCATCCCAAACCTTACTCCTGTTTGACTATCTCAAACCTGTCGGCGCCCCCTCCAAACCCGGTATCCAGTTTTCTCCATCACTTGTTTCAGAAACCAAAAATCCATTCTTCCAGTTCCATCCACCCATCAGCATCATCCACACCTCCAGAATGGGAAGCATCTCCTTCCCAGTTTCCACGTTACCACCCTCATTCTAACTATTGCAGTTGTTCAGACCATGGCATCCTCCTAAGGATCTGCCTCTGTGCCTGTCCCCTCCCCCATTGATGCTCCATGCAGTTGCATGCAGACTTATAGAGACTTCCATAGTTATGCTCTTGATTCATTCGTCTCCTTATAAAATGCAAGGCTAAATTTTAAGGTTCACGAGGCCCTACACAGTCCAGTCATACTCCAGTATTCTTGGGAACTCTATTTATCAGACTTCACTCTCCCTGGCCTCTCAAGTCCTTCTGACTTCTCGCTAGCCTCTGGACCTTTGCACATGCTACCCCACTCTGCTCTAACTGCCATTCGCTCAGCTCTGCATTCATGACTCTTTCCCAGTTTGCTGTGACCATGACCATGCATTACTCTTGAGACTGGGAATACCAGGGATAGAACATGTGCTTAGCGTGTAGAAGGCGCTGGGCTTAATCCCCAGCACCAAACAGAAAGGAAGAAATCCTTGCTCTGTCACTTAACTACCGTGTAATTTTGGAGAAACTGTTTAGCCTCTGTGTGCCTTCAATATGTAATTAAAATGCAAATTGTTCTTAGTGGTGCATGTAAGTGCTTACTACATAATAGGTACTTAGTAGCTATTAACTATTTATTTTTCTTCTTGTTTATGAGCTGCCTCCTACTGGGGAATAAAAATTCCCTGAAGGCAGAGATCCTGTCTGGTCACCATTGCCTCCTATATGTCTGATGCTGAAGCAAGTCCCCGCCTCTCATCTTACAGCAGAAGAAGATCTTTATGATTCATGGCCGATACCCAGTGATCCGGTGTCTATTGCGCCAGAGGGGATGGGTAGAAAAAAAGATGGTCCATCCCCAAGGCAGCATCCTGCCACCACCCCAGAAGGAGCTAGACAGTTCATTGATGGGGGATAGTGATGCCATGGAGGATGGTGAGTAGGTCCCTCCCTGTGCACAAGCTGTCCTCCTTGAGTCCTTTTCCGTTTGCTTCCCGCTGGTCCAGGGTTGAGACCTTAAAGGACTGTGGGGGCATAGACACAGTCCCAAGGAGTCATCCTCCACATCCACAGAGGATGAAGAAGAGAACGAGGAGTTTCGGGAGCCACAGCTGTTGGACTTCGATGGTTTTCTGGAATTTGATGACCTGGATGGGGTACACGCTTTAATGGTGAGGACCCTGGGAGTCAATAAAACGGGGGGCTAGCAGTTGGATGTCCTTCCTTCTCTGAACCCCAGCTTCCAGTCAGGAAAACTAGATTGCTTCTCTAAAGACTGGCTAGATCTGCAGAATGGTGAGGAACTTAGTAGGACTGATAGGGTGACCACATCTTCTACTCATGGTGGCTTTGATGGCTCTCCCTGCCAAGTACTTTGCGCATCTCTTTTCTTTGCCCCTGGCAAATGAGGGCTGTAAGAAATGGCTTTAAAAGTTAAGAGATAAGCAAAGGTAATGCATTCTTTAATAAAGTTAGGACCTGAGTTCAAGCCCCAGAACCCAGGTATGTCAGCTGGACAGTGCTGGCGAATGCCTTTAATCCCAAAACTTGGGAGGCAGAGACAAGCAGCTATCTGTGAGTTCAAGGTCAGAGTGCTCTACAGAGTAAGTTCCAGGGCAGCCAGGGCTACACAGAGAAACTCTGTCTCAAAAAAACAAACAAACAAAAAAGACCAAGCAAACCAACCAACAAACAAAAAACTCCAAATACCTCCTTAAAAAATATAAAACAAGGGCTGGAGAGATGGCTCAGAGATTAAGAGCACTGGCTGATCTTCTGGAGGTCCTGAGTTCAAGTCCCAGCAACCACATGGTGACTCACAACCATCTATAATGAGATCTGGTGCCCTCTTCTGGCCTGCAGGCATACAAAAATATAAAACAAGATGGGTGGCTCCTGATGGGACCCCAAGATTATACTCTGGCCTCCACATGTACACACACAAAACACACATTCCCACATACAGAAACATGCACACCAAAATTTGAGAGGTGCTGGTGTGGGGGCCATGTGTGGTGAAAAGAGGATATGAGTTCAGAGCTAAGTGAACTGTATGAAATCGCCATTTTTTTCTTTGTGTATGACATATATGTATGTGGGTGTGGAACTGCACATGCCACATGCACATGAAGGTCAGAGGACAACTTTCTGAAGTTGATTCTCTCACCCCATCATGCGTTCTGGGGATCAACTCAGGCACCATCATGTGCCAAGTCTTCTGGCTGCCTTCAATAATTTCATTTCTGTTTCTATAATAAAATACTCTGACAAAAAGCAACTTGGCATGGAAAGTTTAACTCCTAGTTCTAGGTTACAGTCAGTCATTGCAGAGAAGTCAAGGTGAAGACCTTGAACAGCTGCAGCGTAGTCAGGAGCAGAGAAATGAATGCGTGCTTTGCTATCCACTCAGCCTCACCTCCTCTCCTCATATACAGTCCAGGACCCAAGCCTGAGGAACACCACCACCATGTGGTCCTCCCACAGACCAGCCCGATCTAAACAATCCCTCATTAAGATTCTCTTCCTGGGGCCTGGAGAGATGTCTCAGTAGTTAAGAACATTAGCTGTTTTTCCAGAGGATCCGGGTTCAATTCCTACCACCCACATGGCAGCTCACAACTGTCTGTAACAACAGTTTCAGGAGATCTGAAACCTTCACACCAATGCACATAAAAATAAATTAAATTTTTTTCCCCTCCTGGCCAGGTGGTGGTGGCGCACATCTTTAATCCCAGCACTCAGGAGGCAGAGGCAGGTGGATCTCTGTGAGTTCAAGGCCAGCCTGGTTTACATAATAGCTTTCCAGGACAGCCAGAGCTACACAGAGAAACCCTGTCTAGAAAAACCAAAACAACACAAAGAGGCAAGCACCACCATGGCCATTTTGCACCTTGTCCTAAGCATCTTCGGTGTCAGTTCATTCAATCCTCAGTCAAGCCCTCTGAGTAGGGTTAGAGGTAAAGGTAGTGCATTCTACAGAGAGAGGCACAGAGCAACAGACCCCCACAAACATGGCCACAGAGACTAGCTCATCAAAAAACAATATGAAATTGTCAGCATGAAGCCTTTTCTCTTACTTGCTCCTTTCCCTGCAAGACCAGGCTTCTCTATGTAACCCTGGCTGTCCATATGTAGACTAGTCTGGCTTTGAACTCAGAGATCCAGAGATCCAGCTGCCTCTGCCTTTGGAGTGCTGGGTGTGTGCCACTACATCTGACCTGAAAAATACAGAGGTAGCAATTTCCCAATACACAGAGAGGGGGCAGTTTGAAGCCGGGCAGGGTGGTGCACATCTGTAATCCAGCAGCTGGGAGGCTAAAGCAGGAAAACCATGAGTTAGAAGGTAGCCTGGGCTACCTAGCGAGTTTGAGGCTTTTGTGGACTGTATAGCAAGAGCCTGTCTCTAAAAATAAAGACCAGAGCCTGTTACAGTGCTGCTGGTTGGTGAGCATCCTGTGTCCCAGAGTTGTAGAGAGAATGGAAAGGTCGGGTCCATGGAGGGCCTCTGTCCATGCTTTGTGTGCATTGATTGGAGTCACGGTCCCTCTACTGGGACAATCACTGATGGTCACAGAGCAAGGTATGGCATTGTGGTGTGCAGCTTAGTCACTGCCTTGAAACACAAGTGGAGGCTGGAAACGGCCTGCTGTCTGCTCACCCGGTATATCCTCTGGAGAAGATGTCTTCTCGCGCCTTATTTATTCAGAGCTGGGGGAGTCCAGAGGACACCTTGACACCTCTTCTCCTTTCTGTGCAGCAGGGCAGGGAGTAGCTGTCCCCACTGGCCTCCATGTCTCCATCTCCTCCCCTTTCCTCCAGTCCCGCATGGTTCGGAACGAGACCCCTTACTTCATCTGGACCACTCGGCGAGATGTGCTGGACTGTCGCTTCCTTTCCAAGGATCAGATGATAAACCATTATGCCCGGGCTGGCTCCTTCACTACAAAGGTAGGCATCCCATGGACTCCAACCCTGGCCTGTGGGCTGGCAGCCCCATTTCTGCAGAGAACACAAGGTGTTCTTGGGTTCAAATGTAGTCCCCGATATATATTGGCATGGCGATTGTGGGCTCAATTCCCAGAAGTCTGAAAACAGAAAAACACCAAATCAGTGATTGTAAACAAAGGAGCCCTGGCCTGAATAGAGCATGTCTGTCTACTGGGTTTCTTAGCAAGTGGCTCCACCTCTCCCAGCCTCCACCTGCTCATCTTTTTTGTTTGTTTTGTTTTGTTTTTGTTTTTCGAGACAGGGTTTCTTTGTGTAGCTTTGGAGCCTATCCTGGAACTCACTTTGCAGACCAGGCTGGCCTCGAAGTAATAGAGATGCACCTGTCTCTACTTCCCAAATGCTGGGATTAAAGGCGTGCGCCACCACCACCAGGCCCACTTGCTCATCTTTAGATGAGAATACCAGCATGCCTGTTATCTAAGGCTGTGTAAAGGATAAAGGGTTTACCAGCATGCGTTATGCCAGTGGCTCTCAACCTGTGGGGCATGGCCTCTTCGGGGGTCCCATATCAGGTAGCCTGCATATTAGATATTTATATTAGGATTCATAACTAGCAAAATTATAGTTAGGAAGCAGCAACAAAATAATTTCATGGTAGGGACAGTAACCATACATGAGAAACTGTATTAAAGGGTCACATCATTAGGAAGGTTGAGAACCACTAGGCTATTACATCATTCACACTATGGTGTGAACTATCAAGGCTTCCTGGGTGGAATATGCTTTTATAGGTGGGAAAGGGTGGGTGGAGGCCTTCTCAATTGGGCAAACCTGGAGATGGATGGATATCAAGTGAGGTCTAGCAATTGGGTCTTCCTGAGCATCTGGACATATGCTGCACGTGGGGGAGCCCCTCAACACTGTCTGTGTCCTCCACGGCCCTTTCAGCAGCTGTCTCCATAGGTGGGCCTGTGTCTCAACCTCCGGAATCTGCCATGGTTCGATGAGGCTGATGCTGACTCCTTCTTCCCACGATGCTATCGTCTGGGGGCAGAGGATGACAAGAAAGCCTTCATAGGTAAGAGGACTCCAACCCAGACCTGACCCCCTCCTGTTGCCTGCCCCACAGTGGAAAACAACAGGTCTCCTCTTGCCCTTACCTACTCAGTAGACTTTGCTCTGTAGCCCCAGTCTGTTCCTTACACTAATGGTTCTTCCATTCCTGAGCCTCTAGCTTGGTCAACCCTGATACAGAGAAGCCCAGGGAGCCAGGCTTTACTCTAGAGCAGGTTCTAGAGGTTGGTGGGTTGGTTCTATTTGGAATCCAGATAAGTTGCAGGCTGGACCAGGTTCCAGAAAAGGCTGTGAGTCTTCAAAGCAAAGAAGGCTCCAGCTCCAATATGGGTTCTGAGTCTAGAATTTGGACCCAGAGCGGATGGCAGCTTTTAAATTACATTCTAAACCTTAGATAGGATTTAGGCTACAGTGTGGTTCTCAGGCTAGAGTAAGTATCAAAATGGACAAAGAGGGTCATGGGAGGTGGGTCACACCCATAATCCCCAGTGTAGGGAAGCAGAGGCAGGATTGCAACAAATTTGAGACCACCCTTGTCTATATAGTGAATTCCAAGCTGGTCAGCTTGAAGCTGCAAGACCCTGTCTCAACGAGAGAGAGAGAAGAGAGAGAGAGAGAGAGAGAGAGAGAGAGAGAGAGAGAGAGAGAAATGAAACAGGTATAGGCTATCTGGAAACAGTTTGTCCAGTCTGCTGTCACACTGTCACACTGTGGGTGTGATATTCTATAACTGGGGTAGGAGCCAGGTGCTAGAGAGAGGTAAATGAGGTTCTGGATCCAAAATGGGACAAGCCATGGTGAGGTTCCAGAACCAGGAGAGGCCTGGAGCCTGGAGGCTGAGCAGGGTATCCCTGCCTGGGAGCAGAGGACTTCTGGCTGACAGCTGCCCGCAACGTTCTCAAGCTGGTGGTGAAGTCGGAAGGGAAGCCATATTCCACCTCCATTCAGACAAGAAAGGAAGAGGTCCTAGGTGAGTGCTGTGCTTGCCTCCGCTCCCACTGCTGTGTGCCCAGCCATTCACTCATCTGTTCCTCCGCACCTTCGCCACTAGCCTTTCCCTCCATCTTCCCGTCTGTGACTATTGTTCACTCCTGCTCACCCAGCCATCCACCTACTGCCCAGCCACCGTCTGCTCTCTCTCTATCATCTTCCCACCCAGCCGTCTCTTGCCGATCACTTCAGTCACCTACCACTGCCATCATTTCCACGTTGTACTTGTCTGTCCCCTCCCTGCCTGCCCTTGCACAGCCCATCTTCCTGTCTCCCCATCCACCTGTCCGTCCTTTGCTTACCACCTTATCCTGCAGGCCACCCTTGCATTACCCCTGATCTGTCTACCAGGCAATTGTTACCTGTTCATCCCTTGAATAGGCCTGACTGACCACTTTAGAGAGGCGGGCTGAGACCACATGGCCCATCCCTGCCTGTGATAGCCACTTCAGGTTCTCTGGGAAGACACAGAGGAACTCAGCTATGCACAAATGTCTCCAAGAAACCCCATTCCTACACATAAGGAACATCTGGGAAGGGAGGGGACATAGAAATACTTTGCATGCTGGTCCAACATACTGCTTCCCCTTCTCCCTCTACAATACTGGGGCGCCATGGCCAAGGGACTCTGGGAAGGAATGGGCAGCTTTACTGGAAGGAGAAAAGTCCCTGGCCCTTCAGGAGGAACCTTTACATGCACACCGTCAAGTGCTGTCATTTGATCTAGGTGGATCAGGTACCAAAAAGACTGTTATGTGCCAGGATCTGGGCCACAGGGAACGTTATGTGTCCAGAGACCCTGCATTTAAACTTCCATGTGCTGAACTCAAGTATGGGTCAATGTTGCAGGTGGGCAGTTGAGGGAACGGTTACATGTCAAGAGTTTTTAAATAGGCAAAGGACTAAGCCAGGGTCAGGTCCTCTGGTGCAGGGGTTGGCATATCATTTCCAGCTGAGTGCTACCATTTGCACGTACATTAGCACTCTGTGGCTTAAGGGCTGTGGATATCCATCAGGATTCTGAGAGAAGGGATGCTTCAGGTATCCCATGGGATATAGGAAGAAGCTAAGTAAGATTTGGCTTTATGTGTATCTAGGTTCACCTAAACAAGGTTTCCAGGTACATTGTAGGGCTAAGTTGTGCCAGGGGGCCCAGGGATAGAGAGCTGCTGGTGGGTGCTGGGGTAGGTATGCTCCAGAGACCTTTGGGACATTCAGGTTGGAGGCTTAGTTGAGTAAGATGCAGGGACAGTGGTGGCCAGGGACAAAATGCTAGGGTTGCAGGTGAATTTAGAGCAGTTCCAGGTGAGTGCGTGGCATGCCCCAGGGTGACTGGGGATCGAGTTCACTCTGGGCCTCAGGTATCAAGGTTTCAGGTCAGCAAAGGACGATGGCATGTGTTATGTTACCCGCCTGGGCACGGGCTATTTACAGGGCCCCTTCCATCCCTACAGAAATCACACTGCCCAAGAAACAAGAGAGAAAGGCAGTGATAGTGTCCCCAGAGTTTGTGGACGAGGCGTTGAGTGTTTGTGAGGAGCACCTCAGCAGCATGGCCCACAAGGACATCGACAAGGACCCAGATGCCCCGCTCTACTTCAGCCCTGAGGGTTGGTCCGACTTCCTCCGGCGCTACTACCAAATAGTCCAGTAAGTGCCCTATAGGGCAGGGCTGTGGGCACATGGTCAGGGGTTACAGTCAGACCCACCCCCAGTAGCACAGCCAAGCCCCCCACTTTCTTTTATCCTGGGCACTCCTGACCCTCAGAGGCTCCCAGTGGCTCCATGAGAAAGTCTTATCCACTTTTCTCCTCTTAGCACAGCATGGACTCAAGGTGGGAGCTTGGGTTGTCAGTAGACTTAAACTCTAGTTAGGAACATCACCGAGCTTTCGAAACAACTCTTTCTTAAATGCAAAATGGCTTTAGAAATAGCATTCAGTTTGGAGAATGGTATGCCATGGGATAATTTTATTGTGGGGTCAGCACAGGCTTGAGTGTCCCCTCAAAATCAGAATCTAAAGCACTTAGATTTCATCCTAGAAGCCATCTGTCACTGTGACACGGGATGCTAATTACCGTAGGACGGAAACAGACATCACAAGGGGCTTAGTGATCAGCTACATTTGGAAATATTGGGTTAAACACAGTGAGCTTAACAGGTTTCCTTGATGTAGAATTCAGAACCTTGTAGGGTGTGTAAGAGAGTCGCAGGGAGAAAGAACAGGGGTGGCGTTTTGGGAGTTCGCCTTGGGCAAAGGCTCTTGGGTGGTAGAGGGCAGGAAGTGGAGCAGGCTCTGGCATGGCAGCAGGAGAATGCCACAGCCTTGGAGAGCACCACCTGCGTAGCTAGCATTATGCCAGGCTCCAGAGCTAAAGCTCTGCAGGGCACAGCACTTACCATTGTTACAGTGAGCCCGTTTGGGGGCTCAGTGCTTAAGAGCACTAACTGTGTCAGAGGTTCTGATTTGGTTCCCAGCACCCATGTCAGACAGCTCATAACCAACTGGAACTCCAGCTCTAAGGGACCTATTGTTTCTGGAGTCTTCAAATACCTGTGCACATGTGTGCACATGCACACACACACATGCAGGCACACACACATAATTTAAAATAATAAAAACAGAAAACAAGACCATGCCTCACCAGCCTGACTTCTATAAAAGTTGACTTCCATCAAAGCAGGTTTTTTTCTCCTAAATATAAAAATCATACTGAACAGACATTTTCAAATTCCCTGAGCCTTTGCCACTCCCAGGTGACACTTTCTCTGGGCCTCACCCCAGATTGACTAGGCAGACACTATATGACACAGACCACAGGAAAGCTCATCAGGAGCCAGTGGGACTGTTCCTCAGAGAACTTCAAGCACCTCCATCTGGCCACCTGGAATGCAAATTCTAATTTAATAATAAAATCCCAGAGTCAGATATCAGGGTAAATGTTGAAAGATCAGAGAAGTAAAGGAGCCGGATACTAGAGAGACCTTTTACCTCTATTGAATCCTCAGACCAAAGTGTTTCCAGGAATCCTCAGACTGAATGCAGTCAGCTCCTGTCTCCTCCTGCCTTATATTCCTCTCTCCGCTCAGCCATATCCCTTTCTGTCTTCACCTCCTTAGTGCTGGGATTAAAGGCATGTGACTCCCAAGTACTGGGATTAAAGGTGTGAGTCATCACCACCTGTCTAGCCTGTCTCATTTCTGTTTTGGACTGGATCAACCTTGTGTAGCCCAGGGTGGCCTTGAACTCACAAAGATCCTTCTACCTGTGTCTCCTGAGTGCTGGGATTAAAGTGTGTGCCACCGCTGCCTGGCCTCTACAGCTAACTAGTGGCTTAGCTCCCTACTTTGACCTTTGGGCAATCTTTGTTAGATTGCATCACCACAGTTGCTTTTGTTCTTGATGCTGCTCCTAAAAAAAAAAAAAAGTTATCCATGGTGGGAAGTCAAAGGTGTTCAAGTGAGCCTAGCACCCAAGGGGGTCTTTGTTGTCCAGTAGTTTAAGTGAGGCATCCATCTGGGACATCTGTTTGAATTATAATTGAGGGAACAGGGTTCCCCTCTCCCATGAACCCCTGTCTGTCTAGGTCAACTATGCACCTATGTAAGTAGGCACACAATCAGCCATTCAGTCCACAGACTTGCAGACTGCCTGCTAAGTGGCAGAGGCTCTGTTAGAGTGAGATACAGCAGGCAGCCAACCCCGCAGAAGACAGCCCTGCAGGCTCCGCTTGTAGCTAAGAGGAGGGTGTGTGCTCAGCCTACTGGGCCCCTGGGTTCGAGCCCCTGCACCACATACCAGAAAGGTCAGCGGGAGAGGCAGACAGTAACTGAATAAATCAGTCTGTAGCATGTGAGGGTGTGTGATGGGAGAGAAACAAATCCTGGTGAGGTGGGATCCAGCCGAGCCTGCGCAGACGTAGGCTAGGAGAGCTCAACTGTCAACCAGAGTTAAGTCGAGATAAGGAAGGATGGACTCAGAGCACCTCTGGGTGAAGCAGTCAGGCTTCTGCACCTGGCTCAGTCACTCCACCCAGTGTGTAGCATTGGGCAGGTCCCTTAACTCTCCCACCTTCAATTTGCATTTCTCTAAGATTGGCTGAGTTGGTTGAGTAATTTCCTAGAGGGATGCTGAGAGAAAGGGGAGGGGGGAACACACACAGATAGGGGGTGTCTGGCAGGGTGCCTGACTTAGTGAGTGCCCCATCCATCTTAGGGAAGTAGGTGTCAGAAGGTAGACTGGAATTGGGGAGGGCTGAAGTCTGGATAGGTTAGAGGCTGTTGGTGATTGGGAATGGGAAGTGGGGAGACCTATCAGGTGTCTCAGGCAGGCATGACCAAAGCAGGCTAGCATAGCAGGGGCCTGGGAGGGGGCTGTGTCTCCGATTGTCCTGTGCTCTCATTTGGCCCCAGGCCCCCTCTCCCAAGTCCCACTGTCTCCACACAGTGAAGGGGCAGAACTGAGACACCTAGAGGCCCAGGTCCAGCGCTGCGAAGACATTCTACAGCAGCTTCGGGCTGTGGTACCCCAAATCGACATGGAGGGGGATCGAAACATCTGGATTGTGAAGCCAGGAGCCAAGTCCCGAGGCCGAGGTGGGAGAGCAACCTTTGCTTCTGGTTTTAATACCTGTATTTACCGCTAGAAGCCAAGGGGGTTAATAGTGCAGGCTGCCCCACTGCCACGTTTGGCTCTCAGCTCCGTCACTAACAGGTTGTGTGACCTTGAACAGGTCAGTTCACATCTCTAAACCTGTGCCCTCCATTGTGAAGTGGGGATGGTGCTAGGTCTGTCAGGAAAAGGTTAAATGCGGCATGCACCTACCACTCGGCACAGCGCGGCATGAACCTACCACTCGGCATGGTGCTAGGTCGGTGGTCATGCTACCGCTACCGATTTGGCTGCTTTGCCTCTCATTCCCTAAGTCCTTTCCTGGGCTTTGCCTTCACTGAATCACTTCAGTGGCTCCACTGTGTACATATGAGGGCCCAGTGTCAGCCTGGCCTTTAAAGACTGCAGAAGGCCTCCCGAAAAACAGACAGAAAACTTGCAGTGATGAGATTCTTTATTAGAAAAGATCTACATGGTAACATAGAGGTGAGTGAAATGTCACAAGGTGAGCGTACTGTGCATCTCCGGTTCCGGGGATCCAGTCCCTCTTCTGGCCCCCAGGCACACGTGCGGCATACAGACATATGTAAAACATTCATACACATAAGATAAAAATAAATAACAAACTTTAAAAAAACAGAAAAAGGAAAGTGTATCTGTTCCTGGGGTACTAGATTATCATCCAAAGTGGAAACAGAAGCAGCGGTCAAGGCCAGCCTTGGCTACACAGTAAGCATGAAGCCAGCCTGGACTACATAACCTGTCACAAAAATAAATAAAGAAAAAAAGAGAGGGAGAACAAGCTGGGTATAGTGGCGCGGGCCTTTGATTCCAGCACTCAGGAGGCAGAGGTAGACGGAGCTCTGAGTTTGAGGCCAGCCTGGTCTACAGAGTGACTTCCAGGACTGACTCCATAGCTACTGAAAAACCCTGTCTCAAGAATCAAAAAAACAAAAACAAGCAAACAAAAAAGAATGGTCAGAGAACAACTGACGGGTCTGCCCTCTCCCCCGCATGCATGGGCTCTAAGAACTGAGCTCAGGTGACCAACCGCGGTGACCAGTACCTTACCCACTCAGCCATCTTGCCCTTAGTTTTTTATCTAATGTTTATTTAATATTATGTGTATGTGTTTTCTTGTTTGTATGTATGTACAGGGTGTGTGTGCCTGCTTCTCATGGAGGCCAGAGAGGGTGTCAGGTCCCCTGGAACTGGGGTTCTGCCATAGGAGTCCTGAGGTCTTCTGCAAGAACAGCAAGTGCTTTTAATGTTGAGCCATCTCTCCAGCCCCCACCCCTCAGTTAAATTTTTACCTGTATATAGCAAATCAAAGTTTAGTAAACAATTAATTAGAAAAACTATTTAAGTTCTTAGCTTTGCTAGAGGTGAGATGTTCTGCTGGACTCGGGATGAGAGCTTAGGATGGGATCTGTGGTCCTCGAGCGCTTCTCCAAGCCTTCGGGTCCTGACTACCTGGGTTCCTCCTCAGGTATTATGTGCATGAACCACCTGGATGAGATGCTGAAGCTGGTGGACTGCAACCCCGTGCTGATGAAGGACGGCAAGTGGATTGTGCAGAAGTACATTGAGCGACCCCTGCTCATCTTTGGCACCAAGTTTGACCTGAGACAGTGGTTCCTGGTAACTGACTGGAATCCACTCACTGTGTGGTTCTACCGAGACAGCTACATCCGCTTCTCCACACAGCCCTTCTCCCTGAAGAACCTGGACAAGTGAGCCCTTCCTCCACCTCCCCTGACTGCCTGGTCTAGTAGGGAGGTCAGCAGATAAAGCAGTGGACTCTGCAGGCAGGGAGGCGGGGCTTTCACCACCACCCATCCTCAGCCTGCAGGAGCTTGCCAAGGGAGTGCCCTGGGGATACAGACTGCCCTGGGAAGCAGAATGAGAACTCCAGCTAATCAAGGGCTTACACCCTAGCAATGAGCTTGAGTCATCATGGCTAACAGGCTAGAAGCTGATATGTGTTAGGAAGAAAATGTAGATTGGGTAATAGCAGACTAAGGGAAACTTGAGAGGGGAAAGGCAACTTGTGGTTTGCTCTTGGAATGAGAGGTAACCTTGATGAGGCCTGGGTTCAAATTCCATCTCTGCTGCATCCAGGTTGTGTTCCTTCAGAGATGTGAAAAACGACTTAAGCCTCAGTTTCTATCAGGGCCCAGTTTCTATTGGCGTCCATCTGTAATCCCAGCACTTGCAAGGCTAAATCTGAAGGATTTTGAGTTTAAGGACATCCTGGGCTATATAATGAGAACCCCCACTGAAGCCAAAACAAGCAAGGTGTGGTAGCTCCTAACTGTAATCCTAGAATTTGGGAGGTTAAGGCAGGAGTCAAACTGGGTGGTGGTGGTGCATGCCTTTAATCCCAGCACTGTGAGTTCGAGGCCAGCCTGGTCTACAAGAGCTAGTTCCAGGACAGGCCCTAAAGCTACAGAGAAACTGTAAAATCTGTCTCGAAAAACAAACAAACAAAAACAAAAAAAAATCAAGCCAGGTAGAATAGTGGATGCCTGTGATCCCAGTACTTGGAATATAGAGGCAGGACAATCAGTTCACTGTCATCTTCAGTAACATGGCAAGTTTTAATCTAGTCTGGGTGACATACAACCATTCCAAAGAGAAAGGCCAGCCTCAGTTTCCACATCTGAAGACTGATACAGCAGGACACTGTAGCTGTCTATCATCAACACTTCACGTGCGATAAGTGCCTCTGCTTGGTCATGCCAGTCATGTCTCAAACACAATGAAGTGAGTTATTACCATTCGAGCGAGGAGAGGGGCAAGCAGGCTCATGACCTGCTTGAGGTCTCACAGCTAGTCACTGGTGAAGCTGGGATTTGACCATCTAGGGTCATCCTCTCCGTCTCCTTCCCTGCCACACACAGGAAGGGTGAACCAAAGCACCTGCCACCGTGGCCTGTCAGCAACACCCAAGTGTTCTGAGAAATGGCTAGCCCTGGCCTTAGGTGAATGGGGGCTGGGGTCAGGGGGCAGCTTCTGTCCTTCTGTCCTGTGGATCTTTCAGCAGAGCCCCATGACAGTTAAGCTCACCAGGATGGCTGACCACAGGATTGGGCCTGCAGCCCCGAGGTTGGGCTCCAGGGCTGAGCCTGTCTCTCTGCTCCACTCCAGCTCTGTCCACCTGTGTAACAATTCCATCCAGAGACACTTGGAGGCCTCCTGCCACCGGCACCCGATGCTGCCCCCCGACAACATGTGGTCCAGTCAAAGGTTTCAGGCTCACTTGCAGGAGGTGGGCGCCCCAAATGCCTGGTCTGGTGTCATTGTACCTGGCATGAAGGCTGCTGTGATCCACGCCCTGCAGACCTCCCAAGACACTGTGCAGTGCCGGAAGGCCAGCTTTGAGCTCTATGGGGCCGACTTTGTGTTTGGGGAAGACTTCCGGCCCTGGTTGATTGAGATCAATGCCAGCCCCACCATGGCACCTTCCACAGCTGTCACTGCCCGTCTCTGTGCTGGTGTGCAAGCAGACACTCTGCGTGTGGTCATTGATCGGCGACTGGACCGCAGCTGTAACACGGGAGCCTTTGAGCTCATCTATAAGCAGGTGAGATGTTCCAGCACCTCCCACAGGCACCTCATAGCAAGCCCCGGGGGCTGCAGGGAGACCTGGGCTTCTGGCCTGTCCCCAAGGGGCGTCTTAACACAGGCACACCCCTCTGGCCTGTCTCCTCATCTGTAGAGATTACTGTCCTCTGAGAAACATTAATGCCATGAGTTTGCAGTCACAGATATATTTTCAGAGGATCTGGGACCTGATCAGCTTCCAGTGGTAATTCCAAGCCTCTACGTAGCACCTTATTTGCTCATCTGTACAGTGAAGGGGTTTGGTCTTTGCACAGGGGTTTGGGATGCCTAGCCAGAGGATACAGTTTTAGCTACTGGCTGATGGGAGCTCTACTAACTGCAAGCTCTATCAAGAATCAATTAGCAGTGCCTGTTATTATTGTTATAATAATTATTATATTATTCATCTCTTCAAAAACAGATTTGATCTTGCTTGTTTATAATAAGAATAGGATTGTTTTTTTATTCAGCCAAAAACATTACTTTGTTTCATTGTTTTTTTAGTTTCTTTAAATAGGGGCTTGCTCTGAATAGCCTCGGCTGGCCTAGAACTTAAGCTATTTCCCAGGCCAGCCTGAAACTCATGGCATTCCTCCTGCTTCAAGCTTCCCAAGTGCTAGGCTTACAGGTATGAGTCATGCCACTCCACGGTGCTGCAGTCTCGCAGCAGTTATCAGAATTCTGAACCCACCAATGGGTGAAGTCATTTATAAGGTCAAAGCCCTCTTGGTCTAATTCTCTCTAGAAACAACCCTTGAGGGCACACCAGGGGCCTGCTTTATAAAACTCCTAGGTTGTCTCAGTCCAGTGAAGTTGGCAGCTAGGGTGAGCCATCACAGTGGGATACGGAGCTTCAACCTTGCACCGCCTAGTATTCGGAAGGCTGAGACAGGGATCATTTTGAGTTCAAGGGAAGCTTGGGTTAAATAGTGAGTTCCAGGCTAGCTTGGTATTCAGAGTGAGACCCAACCTAAAAACAACCATACAAACAAAGCTTTGAAGGGATGTCTTTAAGGCTTTCTGAATTCTGACAACTATTTCTAAGCAGGAGTCTTCCAGCTAACCAAAGTCTAGGTTAGCCACAGGAAGGGAGAACATTGACCACATGACCTGGGTGGTCTCTTACAGTTTCTGATCATCTTAGAACAATGTGCTGGCAACAAGGTTCAGTTTTTGTTAGGGATGTCATCACTAGGGATGGAATCCATGCCTGCATGCTTGGTGTGTGCAGTACCACTGAGTTACACTTCCAGGTAAAGGAGGCCATATGAGTAGGTATCCACATATCCACATATACCTGTAATCCCAGCACTTGGGCAGCAGAGGCAGGACTGTCACAAGTTCACAGCCTACCTGATTTGCATAGCAAATGTCAGTTCAGCTAGGGCTTTATATTGAGAATCTGTCACAAACAACGTAGTCTTAGAAGAGAGGGGAGGAAATGGGACAGAAGAAGTAATCTGCAGTTTGAACTGAAGCGAACTCTGTATGGGCAACACACACCTGTAAGCCCCGTTTAGGAGGCAGCGGCGGGAGGAGCAGTTCAGTCATCCTGGCTCTACAGTGAGCTTGTGGCCAACCTGTCTCACAACAAAGTTGAATGGCTGGGCATTCACACTTTTCAAATGTCCTTTGTCCCCCAGATATCTTTTATTGCTGATTTGTTTTTGAGTTTGAGGGCCATTGCGCAACTAAGGTAGCTACACTAGTGGCTTTGTCTCTCTGATCCCCTTTATCTAGGACAGCTCCGCATCCTGACCCTTTGAAGGCCAGGCAGGCTGGCCGAAGCACTGTCCGACATTCTCCTTTATCTGCTTGTCCCCAGTGTTGTTCAGCTCAGTCTGTTCTCTGTCTTGTGAACTAGAAGATAGGTTAACAAGCTGGTGAGGTTCAGGGTAGAGACGTTTGGTGCTGGGTCACAAAGCACAACCAGCAGATCCTCTAGTTCCTGATGCCAAATGTGACCTTGGACTGAGAGGGCTGCCATCAGAGATCTCTATTAGAAGCCACGCCCACCCATTTGCAGCTTTTTAAATTGTTCTTTATATTTATTGTGTTTGTGTATGTGTGTGGTCACACATGCCACAGCACACATGTGGAAGTCAGAGGCCGACTTGTGGGAGCCCGTTCTCTGCTCCTACCCCATGGGTCTTGGGGCTTGAACTCAGCAAGTACCTTAACTCACTAAGCCATCTCAACACTGTCTCCCACGAAAATTTAGTATTTCGTGTATCTATCCATTTCTGTTGCTAATACATAATACCATAGACAGTGTAAGTTACAAAGAAAACAGGTTTCAGCAGTTAAGAGCATTTGATGATCTTGTAGAGGTCCCAAGCTCAGGTCCTAGCACCCACATCAGGCAGCTCACAACCGCCTGTAACTTTCCCTTTTATTAGAAAGCTACTAGGATTCAGGTGGAGTCGATCCTGAAGCCCTTATCTAACTACAGAGGCCCTACCGGGAGGAGTCACTATACCTCCCTCTTTTTTTAAAAAAAATTTTTTCTCTGTGCATTGGTGTTTTGCATGCATGTGTGTCTGCGTGGGTGTGACCGGAGTCACAGACAATTGTGAGCTGCCGTGTGAATTCTGGGAATTGAATCTGGGTCCTCTGGAAGAGCAACGAGTGCTAATAACTTCTGAGCCATCTCTAGCCCCTTCCCTCTTCTTGGTATCCATGATGGGAATTTCATTTCCACACAGAAAACCATGGCTCAATTCTGTCTGCCTCTGGCTGCTTTTATTCTGACACAGGCCAGAGGTCACCTTGGTGTGCAGTGGGATTGACTGCTTTGTCTGCATGGCTGAGATCTCTGCTTCTCTGGTTTCCTGCTCCCTGGGGCTCTGTGAGTCTAGGGTCTCTGGACCCCTTGAGAACAGAGGGAGCTTCCTGTTTTCAGAAGTGCCTCTTGACCAGATACCCCAGAAACCGATTCGTCCATCTCTGCCTTGTGTCACGAGTCTAGATGGTGTCACTGCCATCTCTCACTAGTGTCTGCCATGGCCTTGTTTTTTCTCCTGCCCATAGCCTGCTGTGGAGGTGCCCCAGTACGTGGGGATCCGGCTCCTGGTGGAGGGGTCTACCATCAAGAAACCCATGGCAGTGGGCCACCGGCGCACAGCAGTCCGCTCATCACTCCCTCATCTGCTGACCCAGCAAGGCTCTGGGGAAGGCAAGGACTCAGGGTCCCCTACCCACAGGTCAGCTTCTAGGAAAGACGCTGGAGCCAGAAGCCTGGGACACACCGAGAGGCCAGACTCTACTGCCACCACGTTGGTCCCTGGAAAGGGGAAGAAAGGCAAGGCAAAAAGTGCCTCAGCCCTGGTCTGCCTCCCCCTCCAGGACTGGGAGCCCCCAAACACCAGGGTGGGCCACACTTTCAACAGGTCACTGTGTCTGAAACAACCTGAGGCCTGGGGTAATACAATGTTCCCCAAGTACCCTAGAGCTCCCAAGGCCATTTCTGCCCGCTCTCTCCAAGCCCTTCCCGTGCATCTGGGCTTGCCCTCATGCCAAAAGGCCACCAGTGATAGCAAGTACGAACACTGCTCACCAAATACCGTTCCATATACAACCAAATAAGTATTCCAAAGTAGTCACCCTGCCAGGCAGTTAGACCAGAATATGCCCCGGCTTGGTCCTAGAGTGCGCGTCCCTGGAGTCCAGACCTCTGCTGTGCTCTGGCCAGCCTCAGCCCTCACTCTCCTCTGGGGAAAGGTGCTGCTACTGTGCCCTTCCCGATCCCTAACCAGCCCCCTCAGCCCTCACAACGCCCTAGTGAGGTAGGTGCTATTGTCCCCGTTTTCCAGCCGAGGTAGCGGGAAGTTTAAGGACGTTGCCTGAGGTTGCACAGCTCAGAAGGGGCAGAGCTGGGATGCAGACCCAGGTCTGTTGGTTCCCCAACCCTGTGTTCTTCCCACTGCCTCTGGAGGAGCTGGGAGGGGCTCCTCTGCCCTCACCTCCCACCCCCCACCTCTCCACATACCCTGTGGAAAAACTGGTCAGGCTCTGGGGCCTTACCCAGACCCTCACAGCTTCCCTTCTCCCACAGCCCCTTCCTACTTCTCTAGTCTCCATTCCAAGGCCTGGCTGCCTTCTCCCTGCGTGCTCCGGCCCCAGGGCCGGGTCCTCAGACTGCAACATGGCCGGTTGGTGGGCCCTAAGGCTCTGTCAACCACAGGCAAGGCCTTGATGACTCTACCCACTGCCAAGGTTCTGATGTCCTTCCCACCTCACCCTGACCTCAAGCTGGCACCCAGCATGCTGAAACCGGGAAAGGTGGGCCTTGAGCTGCACCTCATACCCTGGCGGGTAGTGCTGAGCAGTGGGGTCGGGGCTGAAGGGCACAGACAGAGGGCAGCACCCAGACCATGCAGTGCCCTGGGGAAGGGCTTGTCTTCCCCAGAACCCTGTTCTGAGACAGAGGCCTGATCATATCTCTCTCCCTCCCCTCCTTTACACCGAGGCTGCTATTCCCCTGCACCTTCGAGGCTCCCACTTTGGAAATGCCTCATGGCCTCTGCCCTTTGAAGCTGGACCTCTTCCTAGCACCCACAGGAAAGTCAAAGCCAAAGGCAAGTTCAAGGCCAGACTCTGCGACAAACCCAGGGCTGAGGCATACCCCGAGAAGAGGCTGAGCTTCCCCAAACCCTTGACCCTTATTTTGACATCCCGGACACTGAGGACCAGGGGGGCTATAATAAGGCTAGAGAAACCCCTGTTCTGATCTCCACTGCCCCATCCTGGATCCAGAATCATATTAAAAAAAACAACAACAACAAGTAAAGTTCTTCAGGTTTGGCTTGAATAATGTGAGACAAGGCTGGTAACAAGAGCTGAGCAGCAGGGCCTGCACTAGCAAGGGCCACAGTCCCCATCCAATGACAGGCATCAGCTTTCTCTGCAGGAAGATTGGGGTGGTGGGGGAAGAGCCTTCACTATACAGATGAGGAAACTGAGTTTGAACAAGGAGACAAGACTCACCTGAGACCATAGCAGGTGGAAAGCCAGGCATCAGGAAGTGCCCCTTTCCCAAGGCAAACTGGGCTGGCAGAATAGTTTCTTACGAGCACAGAACATTCTGACAAGAGATGGGCTTTCCCTAAACCTCAGCCCTCTTCCAGAGTGTGTCTAGTCTTTCCCTCAGTGAGAGGTTGGTCAAGCCACAAGAAACAAGCAAAGGGTGGCATTTCCTGCCTGCGGAGCATTAGCTGCCGGTACTATCTGTAGCCTGTGACTGTGTCCTGGGCAGGCTGGGGAGGGGAGCGGGGTCAGAAGAGCTCGTGCACACAGTGTGCACGCCTGTCCTCCAGTCCTCTGAGCT